CTGATGCTTTCTTTGAGCTCACTAAAGAATGAGTGTTTTAAAGATGTATGTGATGCTGGAATCAGAATGGACGAAGTTGAAAATGACTTGAAATGTTTATCCTTCGACGATGATGGTTTTATCCTTTTTCTTGACTTTTTCAAAGCGTTTGATATGATTGAACACCAATTTATGTTTCGTACCCTAGAACAATTTGGTTTTGGTGAAAATTTTCAAAATATAGTGAAATTACTCTTTAAATTGTTACCACAAGGTGTATCTCCAAGGTTTTCTATTGACAAAGGCATTAAACAAGACTGCCCCATCTCTCCTCTGCTCTTCATCGCTGCAGCAGAAATGCTTTCCATTCTGGTTAAACATTCAGATTTAAAAAAATAACAGTGCTAGACAAACAACTAACTATCAGCCAACTGGCTGATGACACAACTATATTTATGAAAGACAGTGACCAAATTCCGAAGGTTCTTCATACAGTTCATTTCTTCTCAAAAGCATCTGGCTTAAAATTAAACCTTAATAAATGTGAGGTTTTTCCGGTTCACAATTCCACCCTTACATCAATTCATAATATCCCTGTAAAATCAGCTGTTAAATACCTAGGGATAAACATTACTAAGGATAAGAACTCGCTTGATAATGTTAATATTTGGAATAATCTGGATAAATGCAAATCTTATTTAAACTCCTCTCAAAGAGATATTTCTATTATAGGCAGAATTTTTCTTACAAAAATGGAGTGCAATTCTCGATTCATCTACCCAGCCTATTCCTTATCGCTTCCTAAAAATGCAATAAAAGCCATAGACCAAGCTATTTTCACTTATATCTGGAAAAAGAAAACCCACTATATTAAGAAAGGCACAATAGTTAAAGAATATTAAGAAGGTGGACTTAAGGGTATTGATATTGAGTGCATTAACGGTACTATTAAAACAAACGGGTTAGGTCTTTTTTAATTCATGAAAAACAATTTTGGTTTCATATTCCCAGTAAAATCTTTATGAAGGTAGGAGGCATTGATTTCCTTCTTCGATGTGACTTTGACCTAAAAAAGCTCCCTGTCAATTTATCCTCGTTTCATCAACAAGTTTTACTGTTCAATTCAATTTATTTTTACTGCATTGGAGAATGATATACAAACATAATTTTACTCCTCACAACACCCCACTATATGGAATTGCAAGTATGTATTACTTAAAAATAAATCCATATTTTTCCCACTTTGGCTAGAAAAAGGAATATGGTCTGTGATGGACTTATTGGACAGTACAGGTAACATTCTGTCATTTGAGGACTTAAATTTAAGCTTTTCGACACAGGTCAGTATGCCAAGGTTGTCAAGGCAATTCCTCAAGCAGTAATTGTGTCGGTATATGATTTATCTCAAAATACTGTGAAACCTAATCTCCCTCCCAGGACACCTGCGATCCCGCCGGTAAGACGGGTTTGCATCAATGTGCTTGTTGTGGGTCGTTGGATGTATTTTACAAGAAAGACGCAAAGAGAGCAGCACAGTAGTTTTATATTGCTGTGTGTCGCCTGTAGAAGTAACTTTAGCTGCCAACACTGTGCCGACAGCTAACTTTACTTCTACGCAGATAAACTAAGGTGCTCTGTTCACTTCCTTCTTGCTGTTTCAGGGAGAAAAGTTTCACGGGCGTCGCGAGGTATTGTATTTTTTATGTAATTTGACTAAAAACCTTTCACTTGAACTAGGATTATTACAGTAACTTAATAAAAAAACGTAGTGTACCTTAAAATAATTAGAACAACATTGGTAAAAAAGGTTATTACTTATTCCTCCAAATTATAGCCTACTTATCAGCCCTTTTTAAAACGATCATTTAAATCAGAACCGTGATCAAACAGTATTTGAACAGATTTAATAGCAAACCTATTATATGATCTAAATAACTGGAAATAATGTCAGTGTCAGTATAAAATAAATAATATTCCTGACATCAAGGTAAAGAATGAAGAAGAAATGGCCCTATATAGATTTCAGACAAAGGTATGAAATGTCAATGTGAAAGGTAAATGCTGCTCTGTCATGGTTATTATGGGCCAACAGAATCAACACACACACACACACACACACACACATCTTTTTAGATTTACGATTAGACATACAGTCAATCAAAATCCAAATGTCTCAGATTCAATATAGCAATATAGAAAATCATCACAATATTGTCTATACATACATATATCTCCTATGTTTGTGATATCTGTAGTCACAGATCACCTCCAGAAGTATCAACAGCAACAAAAGCAGCAGCAGCACCAGCAACCCTTCAACAGCAACTGTTCCCTGTAAGTTATGTCAGCCCACAGTGTTTTAAAGCTAGATCTGGGTATTCACTGTGTTTCTTTTTCAAAACTGTGTCGCAGCATTTGTTGATGTATCGATACAGAAGCATTTGTATACGCATATAATCAAGGAATACATAACAATATATTTCTGTATCGATATTTTGAGAACAGCCCTATTTAAATCCTGTGCCCCTTTTATACTTTGAGCACCTGCCTTTCCAAAGGTCTCTGCACGGCCCTGAGGCAAACATTTGTTAGAACTTTGAGTCTCAGCCTCTTTTTTAGAGAAAATTATAAAAATGGAATTTCTGTGGAAAGAAGGTGGATATAATTCTAAGATTTTTAAATTTCCTATTGCACAGAAAGTGAAGGAGGTTCATTTTAAGGTTCTGAATGGAATATACCCCTCAGCTGAATTTCTGAGAAGTTGTTTTGGTTTGGATCACAATAACTGCACATTCTGTGATAGTCACATTGAAACTACAGAGCATTTATTTTATGAATGTATTTTTGCGAATGCTTTCTGGGAAGATGTGCATTATTGGCTGTTCCCTAAAGTTTTACATTTTTCTAGTCTAACAAAGGAAAATGTTATATTTGGATCAAATTTGAAAGACCCCTTACATGACCTGGCTATCAATTCAATTATCATTCTTGGAAAGTTTTTTTATACATAAAAACAAATTCATGAAATCGAGGCCAAATTTCTATATTTTTCATAAGGAGCTGTGTCTTTACTTTTTAACCCTTAAACAGATTAAGAAAGAGAATGCTGTTAAGCTCTCTAAATTAGTTGGTGACCTTAACCTTACAGAAAATCCCTAGCTTTACTTCAAAACTTTGTTACTTTACTCCTTATTCTCCCCCCTCTTTTTAATTTATTTTATTTACTTTTTGGGTTGTTCTTTAATTTATTTTTAGTGTACATCACCTTCCGATCTCGTCTGTTCCCTTGTTAATTATACACTGGTTTGTACTATGCCACTTTGTATGTAAATGTCAGTAAAAACAAAACAAAACAAAAATTAAGCGAGGATACAGTGCGGAAGTCTTTTCAGCCGCTGTGATGTTTACAAGAGGCATGACAAGCAGCTGGACCAATCCACAGCCGGAGCAGGACGCTGCAGTGTTCCAGTTGTATTCAGAAGTTGTATCAGTTAAGCCTATTAAAAAGAATCAAATGCGCTGTTCTAACCGCATTCCTTAATGTCATTGCACTTTGATATCACTGATGTTGTTATTGTTGAATGTGATGCAGGATTGTAAAAATGAACAGTAAATAGCGGCTGGATGAAGCGTCTCCCCAGTGACACTGTGCGCAATTACGCACGAGCCACAGCAACATAAATTAATAATAATAAATCTCCCGACACACCGACAGCATCGGTCAGGATCTGGTGTTAATTCATGTTCTGTGTTCTTCTTCACATCCAAAAGGTCTCACACAGAGTCCAGTTTCATACAGTAAAAGTGTTTGGAGTAAAGCAGCTGTCCTCCTGATCAACCCTGAGCTCCATCAGAGTCTAAACGTGGATTATAGAAGCTGAAAGTTTAATTCTGTTTCCTCTGTCTGTCCTGTCAAGTTTATTACTGCAGGGTTTTTCTGTTTTGTCCCATGATATATGCTGTGACATTACTGCACCGATGGAAATGTTTAAATGACTGACAGCAACCGTTCTAATCATCAAAGTAAATCGTTAAAGAAAACACTCATACATCAATATAACACACAAGAAAGAAATCACCTGGAAAGCTACAGGGACCGGTGGAGGTGGGGGTAAAACGTCCATGCAGATGCTGGTCTCTGATATCTGATAAAATAATTAGTCTGACTGTTTTCAACAGATAATGTTTGTTGGAACCTCAAGATGTTTCTACATATTATAATGTTGACAGACATGTTTCTGGATGGTGAAGAAATGATCTGTAGACTTTAGTGCCAAAAGCTGCTCTGCTGCTCTGACAGGTCACTTTAGGTCTACTCTGGAACCATAGACTGTATAAAAACTTGAAACTGACCTTTTTTAATACAGCCACAGTTTGTGTGACAAGGAACAGAAAGGAGCCTTCCCTTAGAGACTGTGGCAGCGACCAGTGGTCGGTGGGGCAGCGACCAGACCACAGAATTGGCTACAACCCCCTCTCCGTTTCCTCGACTCCTCTCTCCTCGCGTCTCCTCCTCGACTCCTCGAGCTCGCATCTCGGGTGGGAGGGACTAAAATGCACCTCGAGGAGTCGAGGAGGTGGAAATTTGGGAGCATCAGGTATCTTTTATCAGGGAGCGGCAGAAACAGTCTGTTCAGATGTTGGTTTGGGCTGTTTGTCTTGTTTGATAGGCTGCGTCACTAACAAGCGAGCGGCTCACCTGCTGCCATGATAAATATGGAAACAAGATGACAGCGTAGTCTGCTGAAGCCTCCCTCCACTGCTTGTTTGGGTGGCTGATCAACATCCCGCCCCTCCTGTGACCCAGGGTTTGACTGGATGTGTATTCAGAGCCAGTGAGCAACGGACTTTCAAACTAATAATAATAAAATAAAAACTGCGTTAACGTGCAATAAAATAATTGTTGGCGTTAATTAATGCGTTAACGTGCCCAGCTCTATTCATTTCATAAAACAAGAAGCTGTAATGCAAACTACAATAACAAACACACAAATATGACAGTACTAGCTGAGTGCCTTAAATGCATTTATTATGAAAAATTTGAAATCTCAAGCCCACAGATTAGAAATAGAATGTGTGAGTTTATGGTTTTATGATTACGTTGACTCAGATGGAAAATCTAAGGTATGGAGAAATCATCAGTTGTGTTGTCAAATATAATGCTTTGCATGTTTGAGAGACAGACAAAGTTACTCAGTACAGAAAAACAGATCACAGGAGCAGTATATCAGTCAACTTCTCCTCTCAGCTGATTCTTGGTTGACAGCAATCAGCTGTTGACTGGGTTAACTGCACCTCTACGAATTCTTTTGTGGTACCTTGATGGTCACCTAACAACACAAACAAGACTAAATATCAGGATTCCAAGATGTAAAGAAAATTGTATTAGCTGTTATCTAGATCAGTGTATAATAATTTATACAAATAAACACAACCCACTGCATGCAGTATTTTTAACTTAAAATCTGTGGGTTAGGAAGAGTAGTGTTAAACTATCAGTTATTACAATTATTATCAGATCCTCATGTTATTATCTCTATTCAAGCAATAAATCTATATCTTTAAATTTGGTGTCATAGCTCCCCGAAGATTGCAACGGTTCTCATAGCTTTTATCCAAATCTCGATGATTCTATATTAATTCCACTTATAAAACCAAAATCCATTTGAAAATATTGCTATTCTGTTGCATGCAATCTGCAACCTTAAAGCTAGATGCCATTAAATCCTACACACTGGACCTATAAATTGGATTTTCTTCTTTTATTATCTTTGTTTTTGTTAGTCAGTGGTGTAATCTTTGCTGCTGCCACAAGATAGTAACGCACCAACGTTGCCTTATTTTAAGGCCAACACTCCCATGGGCGTACAGATGGGTGCAAGTACATTTGCTACTCACTCAACATGGGCGCTGGGCTTGAAAATGGAAACCAATTTAGCTCCCAGACTTGATTGTACATTAGTGGTAATCTGAAGATACTTCAGTTCAAAAATAACCATCCCAATATTCTTAAGGATTGCACCTATACTGTATGTATTGATAATAATAGGGACATATTGTTGGCAGCTCATGTCCGAGTATGTAAAATGTAAAGATGACTGATTAACAAAATTGATAATTCTACATTTTAGCAAGTTAGTTCGTATCAATACTTACCGTTTTAACTTCTGTATAGTTATCCAGACCATACTCTCCCAGCTCTCTACCATTACCTGAAGCCTTGTAACCTCCAAATGGAGCCTGAGCCCCAAACACATCATAACAGTTAATCCTGCAGAGGAACACACAAACATACACAGATGACATTAATAATAATTAAACTCCAATGATGTAAAACATAAATGCAGTAAACATGTACTTGTAAAGCTTTTGGCAACCTGAACACTCTGTTAAACCTCAAACACCTGAACACAGACTTCAACAAAGTTTCTTGGAACATTTAATGAGGACAGATTCAAACATACAAACATACAGGGCTTTATTATTAATTATTATTATTAGGTATCCACATATCAGGCCTCCCTCTAAAGCCACTCCCCCAAAACACATGTTCATGAGCAGTGAGCGCACAGGCAGACTGTGCACAAGTAGGCAGGCAGACAGGCAGGTAGGCCAGCTCGGCGAATAAAATGACTGTAATGCTTATTACAGTCCTGGGACAGGCACAGATACAGATTTTATTCCTTTTGGTGTCAGTGGCATTTGATTTGGTTGAAGGATTTGGAGTTCAACATAGAAGAGGTTAGCGATATATTCACTGTTCTACAACATTAAAGAAAGCAGTATGCATCTCCACAAGCATTTATTTAACAGGTAAACAAAAGCAAAACAAACAAGATGAAATCCAAATTAAATGCACTGTACTAGAGAACAAAGAGTGTGTGTGTGAGCGCTTCTTTGTTCAGCCTTGTATGTCTTGCACTTGTACACACTTGGTCAGAACAAAGAAAGTGAAGCTTTAAAGTTCCTCTCTGCTGTGTGTGGCTGTGTTTAAGGCCAAATTACAGGTGTATGTGTGCATTCTGTGCAACGGTGCCAAGTTAATCTCCCCGATGAAACTAATCGGCAAACTCAACACTCTGCAACTTGATATTGGACTTAAGTCTTTTACGATTTATTTGGCACTAGACACATACTGGCTAGTTTACCAGTATGTGAAGTGTGGACCACGCAGTTAATGCCATGTATATTAAATGATTTTGATCAGAAAGGGCTTACTTCCATTTGCCAGTGGGTGGTACTATGACATTGAGTGAATATTTGCATGTAGTTGTGTACAGGGCAGGACTCTTATCAAGCATGTAAAGTTTGCTTCATATCTGAGCATGTAAACTGGAGTTATGAGAACTTCATGGCGGATCGTCGGTTTTTGACAGCACGCCACGGACGAAAACTCAGATAGCACCACTTTTTATCGTCAATGCCTCTAGATTGCACAGCATAAATTTGAAGTCGATCCGAGATATTCTGTTGGAGGAGTTTGTTAAAGTATGGACCCTGTGAAAGGCCATAAATGGGCTGAAATTGCACATCAAAATGGCTGACTTCCTGTTGGCTATTGGGTATGACTCCAAAAGGCTTTTTGTGCATCTTGGGATGTTATTCGTGCAACAAAAGTTTTGTGCATCTTGGTGAAACAAAGCTGCATCGTTGAAGGTTCTCATCCTGCTGCCAGCAGGTGGCGCTGTGAGTATGAGTAAATTTTGACCTTTAGATGTGTTCAGGGCGTGACCCTTGTGGTGTAACGCTACTTGAAAAATCCAAGTGTCTGACAGCTCTTTAAGGAGGTCAAGAACAAATACACTCAGGCAGTTGGGGAGACAAAGGTATTTCAAGCAAAAATTTGCAGCCTGTAGCACTAATTCCAAAAAGTTCTGGGACACCGTAAAATCAATGGAGAACAAGCTGCCTACTGTTTTGAGGTTTGGCAATAATATCACTACTGACAAAACTGCGATAATAGAGAATCTTAATAAACATTTTGCTAAGGCTGGCCATGCCTTCCATCTGGCTACTCCTCCTCTGGACAATTATTATTCAGCTTTACCAGCCTTATGCACAAGCAGTCTCCCACCCCCTCATTTTGCTTTTATCCCAATTCAGACTGGAAAACTGCCATGGTCGGTCTTTTGACACAAATTGCTACAGACCTATTCATCTTGTCCTGTCTCTCTAAAATAATCAACAGACTAGTAAATTAACAATTAACAATAATTAACAAATTACCAATATATCTGGACTCCTATAATACTAGGGATGGGGATCATTAATTTTTATTGATATTGATACCATTATTGAGACTGCTTTACGATACAAGTCTTTATCGATACTTTACTATTATCTGGTGATGGTTATTTGGTAAAAAACAAGACCCAACGGGCATGACGTAGGCTTGCATGGTAAATATGGAAAATATTCATTGTGCGATAACATTGTTATATTAACTTCCTGGTTGTTTTTAAATTTATAATAGGATTAGAATTGAATATTTTAAATAAAACTAAATGTTGTTTCTAGAGCAGCAACATTAATGTTTACAACAGCAAAGTCACAATATAAAGTCAATATGTGACATCACAATAGTGAGTGACGTTTAGAAAGTATGAAGGACTCAGAAATCAGTTAGCACTTTCTCACTGCATGCAAGTAACGTTAACTGGTAGAAGGAGGAGCGGCTGGTTTGTCTCAGCCAGCAGCTGAGTTTACAACAATGTACCAGATTTAAGACTACAGAACAGTTTATACTCCAGACAGACAGCTTTCTATTTAGCTTGATTTGTGGAGAGTGCTGCTGAGAGTGAATATGAGTAAAGCTGCTGGGCCTGATAACATTCCTGGCCATGTACAAAAAAAATGTGCCAGTCAGCTAGTTAACGTTATTACTGACATTTTCAACATCTCACCGTCTCAGGAGAGGGTTCCCACCTGCTTCAAGACAGCCACCTTCGTTCCTGTACCTAAAAAGTATCCAGTGTCTAGTCTGAACGACTACTGCCCTGTGGCTCTCACCCCCATTCTGATTAAGTGCTTTGAGAAACTGGTTCTTCAGCACATAAAGAACATCATCCCAGACAGTCTGGACCCTCCCCAGTGGAGGCCATCTCCACAGCCCTCCACTCAGCCCTCACACAACCTGAGAAAAACAGAATGCCATTTGTGGATTTCAGCTCAGCATTCAATACAATCTCCCCATGAAACTGATCAGCGAACTAATCACTCTGGGTTTAAATACAACTTTCTGCAACTGGATATTGGACTTTCTCACAAATAGACCCCAGTCAGTTCGGATTGGCGGACTCTCCTCCACTCAACACCGGAGCCCCCCAGGGCTGTGTGCTCAGCCCCCTCCTGTTCACGCTGTACACCCACGACTGCACCCCCCCCCGACATGAAGAGAACTCTGTTATGAAGTTTGCGGACGACACCACCATCGTCGGCAGGATCTTAAACAACTTCATATCGGGAGGAAACTGATAATCTTGCAGAGCGGTGCTCAGAGAACAACCTACCGCTCAACGTCAGAAAAACTAAGGAGCTGATCGTTGATTTCAGGAAAAAAGGAGATCGACACACACTCCTGTTTACATCAGTGGAGCTGAGGTAGAGCAGGTGAACAGTTTCAAGAATCAGCATGACAGAGAACCTGATATGGACATCTCACATCTCCACGCTGGTGAAGAAAGCTCAGAAACAACGTTTTTTCTTGAGGAAGTTTAAGAAGGCCAAATTCCCGCGGTTCTTGTCAGCTTTTACAGAGGAGCAATAGAAATCATCCTGACTGGAAACATCACTAACATGGGATGTGCACGGCCCAGAACCGGAGGGCTCTGCAGCGGGTGATTCAAACTGCTCAGAAGATCATTGGTACCCATCTGCTGAGCATCAGTGATATCGGTGAGGTGAGGCATCTACAGAGCCCAAAGGATACTAAAGGACAGTACCCAACCAGCCACAGCCTGTTCACCCTGCTGCCTTCTGGGAAGAGAGATAAAAGTTTCTGCTGCCGCACCACCAGACCACAGAGCAGCTTTTTCCCCCCAAGCTATCAGACTCTAATTCATCCTCAGCACTGCTCCAGTGATGATAATTTATTTCTGTTACCATTTTTCATAATTGCTTCTGTATTAATGTATATTGTCTGCTATGTAGCAGAAGGGAGTTACTAACTCAATTTCATTATGTAACCTCTATATTGTGACAATAAATGTACCTAACTACCTACTTTAAAAGGTGTTGTTACGACGATTAACACTATAGCTTTTCTTTTTCTTTCTAGAAATTAATAACTGTGCAACTGTTTATGACATTTAAAGAAAGGCGTTTGATTTTGTGGAAAGAGATATATGATAAAACGCGCACAAATAAACTTTGGATTTAAGTTAAAAGCTCAAGGGACAAAAAGACCCACCGTGGGACACACCCCAAGAAAGTGACAAACAAAAACACAGCGGAGCCGTGACCTCGCTCTCTTCCTCTCTTCCAGCTGTCCCTCTTCTCGGCTCCTCGCAACATCCAGCATCCTGTTCCCAAAGATCAGAACCGGAGAAACTCAGAGACTCCAAATTCTCCAGCATCTTTTGTCTTAGCGGGAGGTTTGGCCTGACTATTTTTTGAGCTTCCACTGGGATGAAATTTGTTTAATCTCAGCAACGTTAACTATACTCACGAGGGCTTTTGAACCTTCAGTGAATTTACCTTTCCGTTTTGTTTAAAGTTATTTAGTCGTTTAACTTACATTGGCTACCTTTGATTGAGAAAACAATCAAGTTTCTTTTTAAAACCTTAAAAAAAGTTTAAATTAACTCCCACTAACTGACGACCCACAGAGTTGGTGGCTATAGTCAAAATATGTCTGGAGTGTCCAGCAGCCACAAGTCGATTCCGACGAACCCCCGAGACATCTCGCTGGCAAAAAGACCCGATTCGAGCCACGGTCACACAGCGGACAAAGCCCCCCCAAGAGGCCGTGAACGCAACGAACCGAGCAGCCAGTTGTGGGCCTTTGGAGCACAGAACAGCTGAAGAAAAAACAAGCAGTAAGGCAAACAATCTCCAAATTTTGTGGTCAAGTTGGTGTCCTTTAGACCTGAAACCAATGGCCTCAATTTAAACTCAGTTATCACCATATAACTTGCGTCCATACGTCTTCCTTACTACCGTCATATTCTTTCCACAATAGCCAGTCTAAATTTATCTTGAACCCTATAACTTCTCCTGTTGATTGGTGGTTGTTTTAATCATTGTTGTTTTATTTCCTTAATATATCTACCCTCACGTGTGTTATTTTATATAGTTAATAAATATTCACCTTGATCACAGGAACGTGTGTGTGTGTGTGTGTACTATTTAGTGATCCGAGTCATTGTACGTAGAACTCACCCTCAGATTTCAGACTGATTGATTGATTAAACGAACTGATTAACAATAATTGAGCAATTAATAACTAACTGGTCACTAGTGATAATTGTTGTAATTATTAAGCTATACCCCAAGGAGTCCTAAAAGCCTTGGGCGGACAGATAATTTTTAGGTGGTGCCCCCTTTTGAACGAGTGCTTATGATATTAATATTTCCCAATATTATTATTAATAAGTGTAGGTTTACTAGGTGCCATTGATCAAAGACATTCTGGTGGAGCGGTTTATATTGACCTTTCCAAGGCATCTGTCTCTACTGGGGTGCCACAGGGCTCGATACTAGTGCCAACTCTATTCTCCTTGTACATCAACGATATTGCTATATAGCTGCTGGTGACTCTTTCATTCACCTTTATGCAGACGAGACAATTCTGTATACATCCAGCCCCTCGTTGGACAACGTTTTACCAAACCTGCAGAAAAGTTTTAATGACATATAGCACTCCTTCCGTGACATGAAATCATTACTGAAGTTGGATTGCTCTCGTAACAAACACTTCAGCTTATTTATAAGTCCTTATTAGGTAAATCCCTGAGTTACTTAAATTCATAAGTCTCTGTCTCATTACTCACCCACAACCTGCGCTCAAACAGGTTTATTTCTTTGGTTAACTCAAAAACTTACACCTCTTCTGGCTGCTACGCAGTTCAATTTTCAGCAGCCAATGACTAGAATTAACAAAAAACTCAAAACTCTTGTTTCCCTCTCAGCTTCTGTCTATGATATTAACTCATCATTGCACATGTCATTTTTAAACATTCTTTATTTTACTGTATTGTTTATAACTTTTGCCCTTTAAATGTTTGTTTTGCCAATTTGGCATAGTAGAATTTATTTTGCATAAGCCTACTTATCTTATCACAGCTCATTTAACTGTTATTAATCTGTGCATTATTGCGCAAGCCAATTTTCTTTTGAAGTTATTCAAAAGAAAAGTTACTTGCTAAAGAACTAAGCTAAAATTACTTTACTTCTAACTAGTTACATTACTATATTACTTTCACTAAACAATAATGGTGATACTTAGGGCCACTAGCATTTTTTTCCTGACACCAGCGGTTTATTTTGACTGCGTTTGAGCATCAAGCATTATTGATGTAAATACACAGTCCTCTAATCTTAGCAGACTTTCTATCAGCACAGAACACACCACGCCAGTGTTGTGGAGCCAGGTCTCAGTAATTATCAGGGCACAGTAGACTTCCTGTTGCTGAGTTAGTGAGTCTTATTTTATCCATTTTATTTTCCTGTGACTGAATATTAGCCAGGAGCAGGCTGGGAAGTGAAAAAGTTCCAACCTGGTTTAGCTTAACGCTTATCCCAGCTCACTTTCTACTCTTCTTGGTTTGACATGTTGTGGCTAGTTATCGTCTTCAGGTCTGCTGTTAACAATCCAAACCCAGCACTTTTCCGATGCTTGTGGCATGAGATCTCGCGATATCGTTGACTCGCAGAGCAATTCAACTCTGCCCAGCGTACGCCGTGATAATAATCAAGTGAACCTGCTTCTGAGCTGTAAGTCCAGACAGTTGTAAGTGCTGACATTTCCAATACAAACATCTAAAAACTGAAGAACAGCTTTGCTCTGTTTGGGACTGTTAGCTGCACTTTATTGGAGGTGCTGAAGATAATGTGTGTGGATTTGTGGTGAGATTTCTGCCTGATAAGAGTCTCGTGATCTCGTGAACCCAATTTCATGTCACGTCTCGTGAGCTAATTGTCTCGTCAAACCTCTAGTCATAAGTGATCATAATTAAACATAAAAAGGTGGAGAAAAATCACATTAAAAAGCAAAAATGTAGCAAACAAGGGAGCTACTGGTCGCTATGTCTACACACTCTGTCATGCAAATACACCAGGTTTGTGAGGGCATAGCAACGGCAAAGTTTTACTAATACGTGCACCTAAGGCTTACACAACCCATTGGATATCACTGACATTTTAGGCTATTCCCTATGCACATAAGCCAGGACATATGGCCAATTTGCCAATCACTCTTGCTAACTCAAGTGTAATTATTGTATTACTGTTACCATTTCAGTAACATTACATATCGCAGTAAGTATTGCTTGCAAAACATTTCCCGGCGAGAAAAACAACTGCCTATTTTACCAACCTTAGTTGTTTTGGACATTTTACTCTACTGAACTTGTTTGTAAAACTCTGCCTACTTGTGTCACATACTGTCAGACCTGAGCATTGACAATGGTTAGTAAAATCTAAGATCTGGCTGATAGAAAAACTGCACAAGCAAACCCAAGCTATAAAATGACAACATTTTCCTGTGAATATTGGGGAGAGAGCCTTAGGGTTAGCCATAAATATCTACAGTTTACAGACAATTGTTTGCACAGTGATGATTTTGGCAAAAACACTCTTACCAGACTGTGCCGGCACGGAGCCCATTGGAGACATAGTTTGCCTTATCAATATCCTTAGTAAACACAGCGGCTGCAAGACCATATTTAGTATCGTTGGCTCTCGTCACTACTTCCTCCAGTGTTTTAAACTTCAAGATCTGCATCACTGGACCAAATATCTGCAAAAGAAAACATGACAGAAAATAAAAAGATTAATCACTTAAATGAATTATATAAATAACTAATATTAGACAAACAAGTGAACAAGTTAACAAACGACCACACAGCCACAGGAATGAACAAAGCAGCAATTTGACAGAAAACATATAGGCCTGCACGATTAATCTAATCGCACTTGCAATCATGATGTCATCATGTGCAATTACATAACTGCAAAAAGAACCTGTGAAACTTTTGCTATTAAAGAGTAAATAGAGATGCAATAAAGGAAAAAATTATATTTTCATCCTCGCTTGGTATAAAATCTATTTTAATAGCAATATCATAATCAAAACCATCATCTCGTAGATTATGATGAATATCTTCTAATACACCTGGAATACAACTGGATACATAACTGGAGAACAGATCTTACAGGTCTATAGCTCTTCGTCTTGAGCAGACAAATCGTTTGATATATTGGATGTCTGTGTAGCTACTATGGGTAGGCCAGCAGACGATGATGAAGACCGTCTGTTCCAAAGCAAAACCTTTTTCTTCTGCTGCAGTTTTGGCAAAAAATCCAAGATGGCGCTCGGAACTATTTTTACACACAACCTAGACAGTTGGTTGCATTTTGCCACAGTGGAAACATGGCTGCACAACATGGCGACGTCCATGTAATGAGGGACTTGCAGTGTATGTAGATAGAAATGGCTTATTCTAAGGTAATAAAACCATAAAAGTTCATTATAGAAGGTCTTTATACACAACTTAAAATGTAGTTATGGATCTTATACTGCATTTCTGTCACTAGATCATTAGAAATATTATATTCTAAACCTTTAAGACCTGCAAATTCTATTAAAGGGATACAATGCGATTCTGCAGAGAGTTTGTTGATAAACTCATGAACACGCATTGCTATGGTAACCAGTCCTACTCTGCTGAAATATAGCAGAATCCACAACGTCTGCTGTCGGAGAGCATGTTAGTCTCAATAAGATGTCATGTTTTAGCAGTACTGTAGAAGGTGTGACAACAAGCCTGTCAATATTTAAATATGTATTGAAGCAAAATACTTTTATAAGCCTAAAGCTAGGCTTTCGAGTGGCCTTTTATTGTGGCCAGCCTAAAGCACACCTGTGCAATACCCATGCTGTCTGATCAGCATCTTCATATGCCACACCTGTGAGGTGGATGGATTATCTCGCCAAAGGAAAAGTGCTCACTAATTTTTACAGAATAGGCCTTTTGTGTACAAAGAGAAAGTCATAGATCTTTAAGTTCTGCTCATGATGAATGGGGGCAAAAACAAAAGTGTTGCATTTATAATTTTGTTCAGTGTAGCAAGGTGAACCTAATTAAGTCAGTGAGTGTATATCACCATTTAGTTGTTGTTTATAGTCCTCTCCTGTGGAACCAGGTTCCAGTTTGGGTTCAGGAGGCAGACACCATCTCCACATTTAAGAGTAGGCTTAAGACTTTCCTCTTTCATAAAGCTTATAGTTAGGGCTGGCTCAGGTGAGTCCTGAACCATCCCTTAGTTATGCTGCTATAGGCCTAGACTGCCGGGGGATTTCCCATGATGCACTGAGCTCCTCTCTCCTCTACTTTCTCTCCCTCTGTATGCAACCTCATCCCATTATTGCATGTTACTAACACAACTTCTCCCCTTTCCGGTAGTCTTGTGCTTTCTCGTCCCTCTCCTCTCTCCTCCTATCACTTCTGGATCTGTGGCTGCGGGTCACCTGCTGCCCCCGTGTTCCTGCTCGACACCCTCTGCTGCAACGACTATTGTTACTAGTCCTATTGTTATTATAATCATTAACACTACGATTGTTACCATTAACACTACTATAAATATCTGTACCATTTTTCATTTAGTCTATAGCAACATCACCTTTACTGTCTGTACCTCTGTGTGTGTATATTGTGTAGGCTGCCTCCCTCCCCCCCCCGCCCGCCCTCTGTGGTTCAATCCTCCAGGCTGGATGTCGAAGTGTCCATGGCAGCTGTTCCAGTGTGCCAGAATGTTAGTTTCTGTTTGAGCACTTAGGCTCAGTGTGTGAATGGTGAATGTAATGTAGTGTAAAAGCACTTTGAGTGGTCGAAAAGACTAGAAAGGCGCTATAAAAATATGGAGAATTTACATCATCATTTTCCATGGTAAAGGTCACTGAGGAAGTCAAACAACTCCACAGTGGCAAAGCCCCAGGGATTGATGAGATCCGTCCAGATGTGGATGTCTTGGAGGGGATGTCTTGGATGACACACCTCTTCAACATCGCTTAGAAGTCAGGACAGTGCCCAGAGGAGTGGCAAACCGGGGTGGCAGTTCCCCTGTTCAAAAAGGGGGACCAGAGAGTGTGTGCCAATTACTGGGGTATCACACTTCTCAGCCTCCCTGGTACAGTGTACTTCAAGGTGCTGGAGAGGAGGGTCCAGCTGAGTCAGACCTCGGATTGAAGAGAAACAATGCGGATTCTATCCTGGTCATGGAACAATAGACCAGCTCTTTACTCTCGCAAGGTGCCTGCCCATCCAGTCTACATGTGTTTTGTGGATCTGGAAAAGGCATCTGACCGGGGGATATTGTGGGAGTGGTGCAGGAGTATGAGGTGAGGGGATCCCATTTTAGGGCTATTCTATCCTTGTACGTCTAAAGCGAGAGCTGTGTACGGATACTTGGCAGTAAGTCAGACTCGTTCCAGGTGGGGGTTGGCCTCCACCGAGGCTGCGCTTTGTCACTAATCCTGTTTGTGATATTCATGGAATGGATATCGAGGCATAGTTCGGGTGGGGAGGGGTTGTGGTTCGGCTGGCGGTTGATCTCATTGCTACTTTTTGCAGATGATGTGGTCCTGTTGGCATCATCGATTCATGACCTTCAGCAATAACTGGATCGGTTCGCAGACAATTGTGAAGCAGCTTGGATGAGGGTCAGCACCTCTAAATCTGAGGCCAGGGTTCTCAGCAGGAAACCAATGGAGTGCTCACTCTGGGAAGGGAATGAATCGTTACCCCAAGTGAGGGGGTCTTGTTTGCAAGTTAGGGGACAATGGAGCGGGAGATTGGAGTAGTAGGGGCAGTAATTGCATTTGCTCTACCACACTATTGTGATGAGATAGACAATTACAAACAATTCACAAAATCGTTCACAAAATCGTTCCTGTATTTCACTTTTTTTGAGGGGCATTTTAAATCTTCCATACTATCCTACCTCCTCCCTAGCAATGGTCATGTTGTCCTGGACATCTCCAAACACAGTAGGTTGGATGAAGTATCCTCTGTCCGCAGCCACTCCTCCTCCACACATTAGCTTGGCTCCCTCTCTCTTCCCACTGCTGATGTAGCCCAGAATCTTGTTGAACTGCTCCTGATCTACCTGGACAGGTCATCACAAAAGGAACAGCATTGAGCATGTGAATGTGCTCCTGAACACCTAATAATGTTTTAAAGCTGCACTGATCAATATTTTACTGCTCTAAAAAAAGAGATACTTGAGGGTTCGGTTAGGGAGGGTGTGGAGTTGTGATATTGTTGAAAATAATTTCACTGTGAGCAACAGAGTACCAGTGAGTGTCTGTGCGCGCGTTACCTGAGGTCCTTGCTCAGTCTTCATGTCAAAAGGGTTTCCCACCACTCGTCTCTTAGCTCGCTCAACACTTCGCTCCACAAACTCATCATAGATGTCTGCTTGCACATAGGTTCGAGAGCCAGCACAGCAACACTGGCCTTGGTTGAAAAACAGAGCAAAGTGGGACTGCTCCACTGCATCTTCCACTGAATGAGGAAATGACAAAGACAACCTTAACTTTCACAGAGAAAATATTCTTAAAATAAATAATACTAATAAACACTTCACTATCATCAATCAATCTGTGACTAACAACGCATGTCAGGACTTGTCTTCCCTTTAAAAAGCAATTGATAGCAGGTATAAATCTTTTTGCTGACCTCTAGTGGTTTAATGTGTGACCTTACTATAGTGATGTATAAGTGTGATCACTGTTGATGTGCTTATATTATAGGCAGTGTGCAAACTATAACATTGCTTTCGGGGGACTGACTGATTCTTGGTGCGGAACCATTCATAGCTGCAAGCATGTAGGCCTGGGGCTGAATCTGAAAATATCAGGCAATGTTTGTCTATTATTATTATTAGTAGTAGTAGTAGTAGTAGTAGTAATTTTACATTAGGCTTCACTCAACAGCTGTGGCTCAACACTCCTGATTTTACGCATGATCCATGATGATATAGAAAAATAGAAATTAATGGCAAAAAAAGCATATTGTCCATATTTTAGAAACCCCCCAAAATTTCACAAATCATATTTTTAGGGGTGCTTCAAAAGGGCATGGCTGTCTGACTGCATGTATTCTGATGCAACAACAATCAATAATTGTTCAGCCATAAACTGCTATTTATTTAGTTATGAGGCCAATAGCCCTTGACATTGCATAAAACTCGAGTCAAGATTTGAGGAGTTGACAGTACATTTAAAAAAAAATTATTTTATTTCATTTATTTGGTCAGGACATAATCATATGGAGCACAAATCAAGACCTAACAAATAACAAAAAGACAAAATATTGACAATATTTGCATAACGTACGTCGGTGCTGTGCCAGGTTAACGCAGGGATTCCACCGGAGAACAAGCTACAGCGAAAACAACCTGCCTATGGACCATCCAATAACGTGGTAACATTGCTCTTTTGAAGACGACAGCAAGACAGCACTGTGTATCCCGTTTCCTTTTTGTCCCCACACAACTTGGATATATAGGATGATCAAAACGAGGAATTTGTTTCTGTTAGTAGGCCTAGTAGTCACTTAAAATTGATTTTCTAAATGTTTCTTTGTGCTAAAAGTACGTGGAACTAATTTTAAAATGTGAAAAAATTATCATTATTCTATTGAGCCTTATGTGTCTCTTTTTCAGGATGATTGAATAATGAATTATTAATGAGACATTCTTGATATTTATTTTGGATAAATCAATTGTTATATTAATCGAGTATTTACATTTTTTTCTTTAGAATGACTGATAAATTTGTTGTTAGATTAATTGATTTTAAAAATAATTTTTTTTCAACTTTCTATCATCACAGAGTACGGTCTAGACCTGCTCTTTTATGAAAAGCGCTGTGAGATAACTGTTGTTGTGATTTGGCGCTATATAAATAAAATTGAATTGAAAATTGAATTGAACTTACTTTAGTAATTTAACACGTCTTTCAGAAAATTAAATCTGCTCTTTCAGCTTTTGTTATACTTTATGGCCAGATGAAATGGTTTGCAGGACCCTGGGGTAAAAATTAGCTGCTGGGCCCCCATTAAGCCCAATTTCCTCCCCCTCCCCTGAAGGCCTGCATTATATCAGTGGATATTGTGCTTTAGCTTATATATGCAAAGTTATACACAATTTCCACAAACCAAATGATCCACAGTGAACCTGTTGCTTTAGGGGCAAGCAGGAAGCTTCCGGTCAGAGAACTGAGGCGAACATGGAAGTCCCTTAAACCTGCATTCTAACTAACAGCCCGCAGGGGGCGACTCTTCTGGTAGCAAAAACAAGTCCGGTTCCATGAGAAATAAGGGTAAAATTATCCTATTTCTCAGCTGAATAGTAACCTCAGTTAACGCTTTCCTAATTAGTTTATGGTCTCAATGGTTAGTTTCAAGTCTTCTTCAATACAACATGATGTTCATTTAGTAAATTATGCTCCCATTTAGAGGAAAATAGACCAGAAAGCAGAGTATGCTTCAGGGCAGGATTATCTGTGACAAGTCACTACGGCATTGTTTAAATTTAACCGGCGCCGTTGGCTGTTCACTTTCCCTAGTGAGTACGTTTTAAGTGTGTTGTTCGACAAAGTTATCATCCCAATTAAAATGACAGTTAACAAGAATTAAAGAAGCACCTAGCTAAGCAAGCTAGCTAGCTAGCTCCACCATCTCGTCCAAATATGGTCATATCCGGTGCCACTGGTTGCAAAAAAATCAACATGTGGTCCCCATATCGGCTAAACTCGAGGCTTCAAAACGGCAGTCCACAAACCAATGGGTGATGTCACGATGACCAGTGTTGGTTTACTAGTTACTGGAAAAATATTACTTTTCCCAGTTTTTTATTTTAGCCGGTGGTGTTAAGAAACATTAGGCCTAGGCTATATGCTTTGTAAAAACCATACTCCTTGCTGCTGAATATAATAATATTAGTTAAAAAGTCGAGTTTTTTTTTATTTTTTTTACAAGGTGTTGATTGAGGAGCATATATTCACTGGCTCAGTTAGAATAACCCCCCACCCCCACCCCCCCATCCTTCTGTGGGAAACACTGGTAATAAGGAGTAATAAGTAACTAGTAATATATATTACAATTTCTGAGTAACTTACCCAACACTGACGATGACTACATCCACGTCTTATATACAGTCTATATTTAGGGGCCTTGTTTAGAATGAGACAGCCTCAGTTACATTTGTAAAGCATTAAAATACAGTAGTATAAAGCATCTTACAGCTTTGGAAACAGACAAAATACATACTGTTTGCATCAGACAGGATGATATTAGGACTCTTTCCTCCCAGCTCCAGAGTGACTTTCTTCAGGTTACTGCTGCCTGAAGCTTGTTGGATTAGGTGACCCACCTGATTGGCACAGACAGAGTGCGACACCTCAGCTTATTAAAAGGTAGCACTGCAAGTTACAAGTGACCACTAGCCAAATTGACAGATTGGAAAGAAGTTTGTTAACCGCTGTAGTGTAGAAAGTCTTTATAGTGTACACTATTCTGTATATTCAAGTACATGGATGGCTGTAGTAACACGCCTTACAACACCGACTGCTTTCACGCATTCTGTGATAATTCCCTCTTCCTGCTTCACTTTTTGAATATGTCCATTCAACGAGAATGAGAAGAGGAGCACTTTCTCCGATTTCTCTTTTGTGGATCCACTTAGCTATGACCATGTCATACGCACAGTCCCTATGGTAATGGTGAATGGACTCTATTTGTATAGTACTTTTCTAATCATCTGAACACTCACATCACTTTACAATACAGGTCACATTCACCCCATTCACACACTGGATCGAACAATCGACCTTCTGAGTGGTGGACCGCAGCTCTAACTTCTGAGCCACAATCCCCAAGAAAACAGTAATCAAATCTGATAAAACTCGGGTTGGGTTTTCTCCCAATAAGTTAATATAAAGCCTATGATGATAGAAATATTAACATATAATGCTTTAAATAAAAATGTGAAAAGAAAGAAGCTTTTAATAAATCTTTTTAAAGTGTGTGAATATGCATCGACTAGACACAGCAGACCTTTTAGGTACAGGATCGATGGTCTGACAGGTGGGAACCCTCTCCTGAGGCAGTGAGATGTTGAAAATGTCAGTAATAACATCAATTAGTTTATTTTAGTACACGGCCAGGGATATGGGATATCCAAGATGGCGCTGCGTATAGCTGCCTTGGCATTAGGTGCGCTTTGTTTTGTAAACTCTGTTTTCAGCTGTGATTTCCGGAGCTCTTTCACCAGAGAAGAGATTGTGAGCATCAGTCGAACAACAACAGCAGATTTATTCCCCACTTTTCCCGCATCATTAGTGGAATTATTGGACATTTTGGTTAAGGGCACGCTCACTGTTGTTTAGGCTGTGAAACACCAGAGGAGAGTTAAATGAGCCGGGTCACTCATGCAGACTTCGCACAGCGCTACCAGCAATATTTCTTTCCAACGTGCACTCACTTTGCCACAAACTGGATTAACTTCAGCTACTGGTGGGGGAAAACAGAAACTTTTATTCATCTTCTGTTCTTTGCAGAGACGTTGTTGTGTAGATTGATAACAGACTCTGCGCTGCAGCTGGCTGGTTTCCACTATACAGAGTGGACTGCGACACAGATCTCTCCAGCAAAACAAAAGGCGGAGGTGTTTTTACATCAACAGAGGCTGGTGTAACGACGTGACTGTGATTCAACAGCTCTGTTCTCCTGATCTGGAATATTTACTCATTAACTGTAAACCGTTTTACTCTGCCCAGGAGTTTTGCTTTATTTCTTTTCTGCTCAGTTTGTACATTCCACCGCAGGCCAACGTTCAGAACGCATAGCAAATGCTTGCAGACCAGATACTGTGTGTGGATCAGACAAACCGGGGCTCCCTTGTTATTGTCCTTGGTGACTTTAACAAGGAAAACCTAAGTCAAGAATTCCCCAGATAGACAGTTTATCAAATGTCTGACCAGAGAGAAGAACATTCTGGATCATTGTTACACTACATTAAGCAGTGCCTATCACGCACTGGACTGGGACATTCTCATCAGATGATGATCCACCTGATTCCTGCATATAAGCAGAAATTAAAGCTCTGTAAACATGTTGTGAGGATATTAAAGCAGTGGACCAATAGAGGACCAGAGAGAAGAACCTTCTGGCGTGTTTGGACTGTACTGACTGGGATGTTTTAAGGACTGCCACCAACAGTCTGGATGAATTTGTAGATGCTGTGACGTCCACTTCTACACCGCCATCATTGAGTCCATCCTCAACTCCTCCATCACCATCTGGTACGCTGCTGCCAGGGACAAGGGCAGGCTGCATCATTCGCTCTGCAGAGAAGGTGATTGGCTGCAATCTTCCATCACTTCAGGACCTGCACGCCTCCAGGACTCTGAGGCAGTGAAATACTATTTGGCAATAGAGCTCTTTCTTTCTTTCTGATTTCTTTCTGATTATCAGGCCCTGCAGCTTTACTCATATTCACTCTTAGCAAGAACTCTTCTCACATCTGCTGTGGATCCTGACAGTGGCCGGTCCTCTGGAGGTGGAGTAGACCTTACAGCTGCAGTCTTTCTGCCCCCATGTGATCATAAACATATTTCCTTTAATATGTATATAACATGTTATTGTCCTGCCAACAAAAACCAAATAAACAAATCCTACCTCGGTGGAGCCAGTGAAGGCCACCTTGTCAACATCCATGTGCCTTGCAATGGCAGCGCCAGCTGATGGTCCCATGCCAGGCAAGATATTCACAACACCTTCAGGAAAACCCACCTGTAAACAGAAGAAGAAGTGTAGTTATTGTACATATTTTAACATAATGTGCAAGTGATTTTAATGAAATGACATACATCACAATCCTCTACAGCTGAATGACCACCTCTCTGACATAATCTCAAAATATGAACATTGTCAACTTCACAGAAAAATTCAAAGATATTTTTTGAATTTTATTGTCTGTCAATTCATTCATGATATTATGTCCATTCAAAAATAAAGAAATTGAAGGTAATGAAGTGCAAAAAGGAGCATTTTGGGTATACTAATTAGGGGTCCAAGCCCGAAGTGGGCCGGGAACCCCAGTACCGCGATGCGGCTGGGAACCCTATTGTATTCGTTCTCGTTTCTATTGATATTCTTCCGTGCAGATTAAAGGCGTGGAAATAAAATCACATCGATTTAAATACATTTTATATCTCCAGTACCACAAGTCCGATTGACACCATATTTGGGTCAATGCTTCCCCATGGGCCCCTGAAGACACCTAAAGGTGGCGCTATAATCGAAGCTCAAATACCATCAGAAAATCCCATTCATTTGAATGTCATTTGAACCAACGAACATTTTGCCTCATAACTACATCGCACATTCAAAAATGTTTCCATGTTTGCGGGATACTGCCAATTTATATGGTATAGGACATTCCTATGTGCTATGACATTTTCATTTAGCTAAATCGTGAAAACTGAAAAACCTATTTTGATTAACTCCTCCGAAGCCGCAAGTCCGATCGGCACCAAACTTGGCACGGACCATCTCTGGATGAAGGTGATACAGGCTTGTGCTCCCCAGATCGATATGTGAAAAACTGTCTGTCTATCTTAGGTTTGGAATGGCCGATTGACACCAAACTTGGAGCACTTATGTGGTATGCCCCCCTGATGAGCTGTGCAAAATTTGGTGTCAATCAGCCTCTAGTTGGGCTATTGATCATATATCAAATAACGCTCCCATAGACATCAATTCATTTTTAATCTCCGTAACCGTAAGTCCCTTTCATTTCAAACTCTGGTCATGTATTCTCAGTGGGCCCCCCCCCCCCAACTGCAGCGGGCCGCCCAGGTCAACTCGTGCGCTCCTCCGCAGGGCAAGGGGGAGCAGCTGGCACCTGGGGGCTTGGACTTATACAACTGCTTGCAGTTATATTTAAAATGAACATTGGCGTACATTTGATCTGATGGCAGAGTATTCCAGCAGCTCAGACTATAAAAATTAAAACCTTTTAAATTTGCACCAACACCAAGCAAACTAGCTACACAGGACTGTGTACTAAAGTGACGTTAAATTAGTAGTTCTTAAATGAACAGGAAGCTCAAGTTAATTTATGCTGATGTAATGTGGCCATATATTTCTTGGTAAAACTCTACTTTCAGCATGTTGAAGTAACTGCAGTTGACCAACACTTAAATAGTGGATAGGGACAGTTGGGTTTTTTGAAGTTGGGCATTATAAGGTACTTGTCCATAGTCAGTTTATTACCTGCAGTCAGTACGTCTCCAGTTTGGAGAAGCAGAGAGTTGTAATGTACTGCTATAATTTACTGCAGGTAAATACACTGCCTGTGGATAAGTACCTTATAACGCCCCATTTAAAAAAAAATGAAATATCCCTTCAACAGTAAGAAGGCAATAGTAAATTGTTCAACAATCTGGAGATGGAGAGGACAGATTTTGACTTGTTCCTTCATGCAAAGAAGAAAAAATAAACTAAGTACCTCTTTAATCAGGCTGGCTACAAACAGTGCTGTGAGTGGTGTCTGCTCTGCAACTTTCATCACCACAGTGTTACCAGTCGCAAGGGCAGGTCCAAGTTTCCAGGCCTGCATCAACAGAGGGAAGTTCCACTGCGAAGAACAGAGTGAGAGGAGAAAGATCAGAAGAAAAGGTATGGTCACATTTGTAGCGAATAGCCTACGAATGACTGACTTCTATGTCAAAATGTACTGCATGGGTATCACAGCAGCAGCAATTTAATTAGTCTCGGCCATTAACATGTAGTTAACATTTAACTAACACTAAGCTGTGTGTCTTGCTCAGTCAAGCGACAACGCACAAATTATCTTTGTGAGGGAACACACACATGCAGCCATGAATGTTATGAATACAGAGACCTGCTGCATCAACATCCCGGGTCAAGCACTCGGGGGGGTCCGTGTTCCGAGCAGTCAGCGCAAGACTCCAGCATGATGAGGTGGACTCAATGTTTTACATCAATGATGCTTGGTGCTCCAAAATGTCAGACTTTTTTTTATGTGATGAAACCATATTATAATCTTGTTGCTGCCGTTTACATTCACCCTAGACACAAATTCTAAAAAAATATATATAACAAAATTCATGTCTGTATCCATGTATATAAATAACTATATATAGTTTTGATTTATTTCATATGTTACCATATTTTAAGATGCACTTAATGATGTGTTACGTTTTGTGTGTGTAGCATGAAGGGACTACAGCCCTTTCATTATACAACCTTGTGTTATATAATGACAAATAAACAACCTTGTACCTTGATAAATATATGATAAATGATTGTGGACCAGTGCAAGTTATTAACAAGTTTCCAGTAAGTGTTTATAAGGATGCTATAAGAAATAAATGTGTTTAATTAATATTGACAAATACTTGCATAGTCTTATTAATGTCAATAAACATCTTATTTAATAAGCTGTCTATAAACATTAAGAATTTCTTAATAAAAAGGTCTTACAAGTGTCTTACAAGCAAATAATAAATGTGTCAATTACTCTAATTAACATTCATAAAGTCTAATAAATGATTATTAATGTTTATGACAGGTATATAAAAATTATAAAGGTTCTAATAAGCGATAATAAATGTGTTAATTGTGCTTTAATTAAGACTTATATGGATTCATTTATGCTCCAACACATCTTATAAGGCCTTATAAGTGTCTTATTAACTTTGTTGTTTTATTTTATTTAAATGTTACCATATTTTAATACTCATTTAATTATCTATTAAGTTCTGTGTCTGTAAGATGAAGGGACTACAAAGCTTTGTTTCGTTATACAACCTTCTGTTGTAAAATGACAAATAAATAACCTTTTACCATGTAACTTGTATTGTATGCAGGCGGCAACCTCTGAAGCCACCCAGAAGTGCTAAAAACTGCAATTCATTGAATGGCCATTTGAGGTTTGCTCCAAAAGGGAGTCAATCTCTATAGACTACCATGTTAAAATACCCAATATTACAGCAGAAAAAACATGTTTACAGCCTGGTTCTTGAAAAATGGTTTTAGTGTATAAAGGTAATTTAGCTCTTCATGACAGATATGAGGGGGGTGATTTTGGGTGAACTTACCCATTTAAATTATATTAAGCCTTAAAGTTCTGCATAATTAGGGGCGTGGCTGCTTTGAGTGACAGGTGGGTTGCCGGCGCTGTCACTACTAGCCTTTATGCTACTAGCGGTCTGTGAGTTGTATCCCAGAATGCATTTCATCCTAACAAAAGGGCAATGGCTGAAGACAAGATACACAACTTTAAGTTGTAATACTACGGTTCCTGCAGAATGCAGTTTTAATAGTTTAAGGTGGGAATATAGTTGTTTGAACCTAAAATCTGTGGTGGATTTCTAAAGATAAAGCAGAGTTAAAAATTTGCTCCAACGTTTTTGGACATGTGAGGTGCCGGGTCCCGCTATCTGACAGCAGAACAATACTACAGTATTGCCTATAATCACGTAAATATCATGCCTGATTATGCATAAAAACACTTCTTTGGATATTAATGTGATTATTTGGTTAAAAGAAACATTTAAGTTTCACAAAGACATACCTTTTCTATTACCACCAACATAAAGTTATATGTATTTACAAGTTATGACTTTGATCCAGATACATCTTTAAACTTATATTGGGTGACAATAATTTTATGGCAGACCATCAGTATTTGGAAAGATACCGGCTGGCAACGCAGAGTGGTATATAGCTTTCTTAGCCTCTTTTGCCTCTTAGAATTAGCTAAGCTTGGTAATGCCGAGCGAGGTGGACGTGGTTTCAGCATCCAGGCTCCACCCATGCCCCACCTCACTGACCATTGTTGATTATCTGGGAGTGACGTGTGGTGACACACTACCAAGATGGCGACAGACTTTGAGCTTCAAAACAGCTCTTCAGAGACATATGTGTGACATCACGAACACTACGACGATTTTTTTGTATACAGTCTGTGATTGTACATCGCATATTCAAAAACCTTATATGTACGTGAATTGAACTGAGCTGCATAGGCCACGCCCATTTCTGTCTATAATTTTATTTCACAAAATCACGAAATGTGCAAAACCTACTTTTTTAAACTCCTCCAAGGTGGTGAGTCTGATCTGGACGAAAGATTTTTGATAATCCAAAAATGCAAAAGTTATAGAGGAAAAACTGTAGCTTGCACGTAAACAGGAAGTGATGTTATATCTCCACATAGGTCTGTCCTATTAACTCATAACTTAAGCCAGTACCTCTCATACCCCACCGAGGCTCTATTCAAAATGTGCCGTTAATCTGCCACTAGGTGGAGCTACATATGCAGTGATGTCATATCTCCACATCATTGTCAGATTAACACAAAACACAGGCACACGGAGGCTCTGTGAAAAATTTCACACAAATCAGCCACTATGTGGCATTCTTGTTGAAAAATCGTGAAATATGCAAAAAAATAAATAAATAAAAAAACTGTCCAAAGCACTGTTAAATTTAGAAGGGTGGTACAGACTTGTGCACACATGGAAGACGCCAGAAATTACATATGTCCACAAGCAGGTGCTACAACAATGGTAAGTGCGTTTTGCCAGTGACTCCCACATAGTATGTATTCAAAAACTCTGTATTCACATGTTCCCTGAATTGAGCTGCATCTTGTGATATAGACCACTTTGCATGTAGAATCTATGGACCCATCTTTCTTATTTAGTTTAACAGGATGTACAATATTGAAATTTTTTTCCCCTCCCTCCCCCACCTCCCTCACCGGAATGATCTGTCCGCAGACTCCAATGGGTTCATGTCTGGTGTAGCAGAAATAATCTCCATCGATAGGGATGGTCTTTCCCTCCCATTTGTCAGCCCAGCCTGCGTAGTACCTAAACACAAGTGGTTTAGACATGCGTTAGTAAAATGTCTGTACTTACCAAAAATGTTTTTCCCCCCAAAAGTTTAAAGCAAAGCTAATTCGTCTTTCTTATGTCTTACCTATGATATTACACTAAAGAACTAAACAAATTGTCCACTCTGAGGCAGTTGAATGAAGCTTTAAAATGTCATGAAACCCTGTGCTGTGTGTACCTGAAACATTTCACCACATTAGGCAGATCCACGGTGTAGGATACAGCATATGGCTTCCCATTGTCAATGGTCTCCAGTTCCTGCGACAACAAAACAATATCATTTTTATGCACAGCAACTGTACATGCTATATACAACACTGGAACAATCTAAGCTATGCAATCTTATGTGATGCATCACAGAAATAATGGAAAAATGACCCTACTTCTCACCTGATTTATTACCTCAGTAAACACTTTCCTTATGAGTTTATGGTCTCAATCGCTAGTTTCAAGTCTTACAATACAATACGATGTTCATTTAGTCGATTATGGTCCCATTTAGGCGTAAATAGACCATAACCATCTGCAACACAGCCGCCTCACACCTCGACACGCTACACCTGTGAGGGCCCGCCCGCCACTGCTTGCAGCTTTAATTTTTAATTGTGTGCACACCATTTCCAGTTATTCACAGGAGCAACCAGGTTGTTTCATTTTCTGTTCTGAATGTCTAAATTTAACATAGAGCTATAGCTATGCCTTCTCCAGTGTGCAATGGTAATTAAATGACATTGCATCTTCCCAGAAGTTCATTCTATCATACAATATTTATTCAAGTAATGTTTTTTACTTATGTAATTGTTCATATTCAATGAAAGCATTGACTTATTCTCTAAATAATGTGTTAGTATTATCTGAACATGGATGTAATGTAAATATGTGTGCGCTCATGTGAATATACCTGGTGGGGCAACAACTTAGTACAAATAAAAGCATCCCTGCTTTCTCCCCAAGTGCTGTTCACCAGTGTTTTGACATTTAATGATGACTCACAGCGAGGTAGGCAGCATTCCTCTCAATGGCATCGGCCAATCGATTGAGTAACAGGCCGCGATGAGAGGCGTCCATCCGTCGCCATGGAGACCCCAACCGAAAGGCATTACGTGCTGCCTTCACTGCCTTGTCAACATCTGCCTGGAAGTTGAACACAACAACATGATGAAGTGGCAATACTATTGTTAAAAATATCTTTGGAGAATCAAATACATTAAAGTAAAATGAAATTTACCAATGATTTCAATGGTAAATGTAAATGCTCCGTACTTGTATAGCGCCTTTCTAGTCTTTTCGACCACTCAAAGCACCAGTCACACACATTCATACACTGGCAGAACAGCCGCCAGGGGCAAATCGGGGTTCAGTATCTTGCCCAAGGACACTTCGACACGCAACCAGGGGGAGCCAGGGATTGAACCGCCGACCTTCCGATTAACAGCCAACCCGCTCTACCTCCTGAGCCACAGCCGCCCCGCAGTGACCAAGAATCAAAACGTTAAATTGTATCAAAAGAATAATTCAATTCTCCTCTTTTGATTAATGTATCAATTTTCATAACATAGCTAAAAGCACAATGTGCGTCATGCTATCAACACCTCTGACTCTAGTGCGTTTGGAACATACAGATGAATGGCAGATCAAGAAATGTTTTTCTTGGAACGGCAATACCCTAAACCCCAACTCTAACTCTACCCGTAACCCCATTTTCTTAGCGAGGCATTTTTCCCCAGTGGGTGTTTGAGCTCATTAAACATACTAAGTAGGGCTGCAACGATTAGTCGACGTAATTGGCGACGTCGACTATAAAAAGTTGTCAATGTGAAATTTCATTGTCGATGCATCGTTACATAGATGCCGTTTAAGGGAGCAATCTTCATATTAGGAACATTTCTGGTTGTTTATTTCTAACTGCAATGCACTACAGGAAGTGCTGGGGGCATTATTGCTTCCACTGTCTGCCATGACTGCTTGACTGAGAGACTACTCCCGAAGAAGAAACAGTCATGCAAGAAGTTAAAGTCAAGTTATTTAAATCACTTAATACACTTTTGAGCGGTTTTGAGGTGAGAAATCAATTTAGTAGAATTTGAATATTGGCAGTTTTACCAAAATTGATGGCGAATCTAAAATGTGTGTTTTTGGGGTAGGCGCGAGGTTAGCGGTGCCAACCAGCCGGCCGGTCACGCCCACAGAGCCCTCTGGTCCCAGTTACTCAGACCTCTGGTCCCAGTTACTCAGACCACTGCAGCAGCAACAACAGAAGAAAGGCAGTGTTTCCTATTCGTTCATTTATTTGTGGCGGCCCTCCACAAAATCAACCTCTGACCGCCACATACTGATTTTCGGGGGGTTTTTGTTTGTTTTACTAGGCCTATTTAAAACCTTATTTGATTGCAGATCAGCGCTGTAGTGGATTCGTGCAGTACATCCTCTCACTCGTCTCTCTCTCTATCTGTCCAACAAAAATGCTGGCAATGTCGGAGACCCAGCTTTAAAAAAGTTATTAGTAACGAGTAATGGTTTAAAGTACATCAAGGAACATCTGGCTCCTGATGCGTTATTGCCTAAAACCTAGAAGCACTTTTGAAAAATAAACTACAGCAGTAGTTCCTTTATTGCTCTAAATAGACATTACATTGTTAGTGTACAGTTGTGGTTATAGTACTTGCTTTTATTTTATATAGTTCCAAAGCAAAAATCTAAATCTACAGCTAAAAGTTTTAAAGTTTGTATAAATCACTGAATTATAGGAGGAGCCTACGCTGTCTTGTCTTCTTCCCTGGTTTCCCCCTGGCGTTGATACTGGGGTTCTTTCTGAATAGTAAACCTTGTTCACTTAATGGTAACGTTAGCTAGTTAGGCTGTGTGTTGGAGATCAGTAATTCACTTGAAAGATATTTAATTAGTTAAATGGTTTAATTAGGGTTAGGGGGTGACAAAAATAATTGTGACAAGTCGACTAGTTGAATAAATAATTACCAAAATTAGTCGACTATGAAAATAGTCATTAGTTGCAGCCCTACTGCCAAGAGCTGAGACACAGAGTCCCCTCATAGCCTGTCATTGACTATATACAATCAGAGTATAGGCAGAGCAGTAAAAGCTGCATACCCATTGTATTAGCTAGGTTGTCAAACAACATTCAGGAAGGGGGAAGCAGGTGCCACCAGTGTTTGTCTTCCTGGGTGTTTATCATCTCAGCTCTTTCCCCTGTTCGAGCGTTTAAGCCCCCAGAGATCAAAACATTTCCCATAGTTTTATAAATGGTTAACTTCCTCCTCAAGAATTAAAAAAAAAAAATGTCTGGGTTGTAGTAGGGGGATTCTGATGTACTGTATGTACACTGCTCAAAAAATAAAATAAAGGGAACACTTAAACAACACAATGTACAGTAAGGAAAATAAGTATTGGAACACACTGCTATTTTGCAAGTTCTCCCACTTAGAAATCATGGAGGGGTCTGAAATTGTCATCGTAGGTGCATGTCCACTGTGAGAGACATAATCTAAAAAAAAAAAAAAAAATCCAGAAATCACAATGTATGATTTTTTAACTATTTATTTGTATGATACAGCTGCAAATAAGTATTTGAACACCTGAGAAAATCAATGTTAATATTTGGTACAGTAGCCTTTGTTTGCAATTACAGAGGTCAAACGTTTCCTGTAGTTTTTCACTGCACACACTGCAGGAGGGATTTTGGCCCACTCCTCCACACAGATCTTCTCTAGATCAGTCAGGTTTCTGGGCTGTCGCTGAGAAACACGGAGTTTGAGCTCCCTCCAAAGATTCTCTATTGGGTTTAGGTCTGGAGACTGTCTAGGCCACGCCAGAACCTTGATATGCTTCTTACAGAGCCACTCCTGGGTTATCCTGGCTGTGTGCTTCGGGTCATTGTCACGTTGGAAGACCCGGCCTCGACCCATCTTCAATGCTCTAACTGAGGGAAGGAGGTTGTTCCCCAAAATCTCGCAATACATGGCCCCGGTCATCCTCTCCTTAATACAGTGCAGTCGCCCTGTCCCATGTGCAGAAAAACACCCCCAAAGCATGATGTTACCCCCCCATGCTTCACAGTAGGGATGGTGTTCTTGGGATGGTACTCATCATTCTTCTTCCTCCAAACACGGTTAGTGGAATTATGACCAAAAAGTTCTATTTTGGTCTCATCTGACCACATGACTTTCTCCCATGACTCCTCTGGATCATCCAAATGGTCATTGGCAAACTGAAGACGGGCCTTGACATGTGCTGGTTTAAGCAGGGGAACCTTCCGTGCCATGCATGATTTCAAACCATGACGTCTTAGTGTATTACCAACAGTAACCTTGGAAACGGTGGTCTCAGCTCTTTTCAGGTCATTGACCAGCTCCTCACGAGTAGTTCTGGGCTGATTTCTCACCTTTCTTAGGATCATTGAGACCCCACAGATCTTGCATGGAGTCCCAGTCCGAGGGAGATTGACAGTCATGTTTAGCTTCTTCCATTTTCTAATGATTGCTCCAACAGTGGACCTTTTTTCACCAAGCTGCTTGGCAATTTCCCCGTAGCCCTTTCCAGCCTTGTGGAGGTGTACAATTTTGTCTCTAGTGTCTTTGGACAGCTCTTTGGTCTTGGCCATGTTAGTAGTTGGATTCTTACTGATTGTATGGGGTGGACAGGTATCTTTATGCAGCTAACGACCTCAAACAGGTGCATCTAATTTAGGATAATAAATGGAGTGGAGGTGGACATTTTGAAGGCAGACTAACAGGTCTTTGAGAGTCAGAATTCTAGCTGATAGACAGGTGTTCAAATACTTATTTGCAGCTGTATCATACAATAGTTAAAAAATCATACATTGTGATTTCTGGATTTTCTTTTTTAGATTATGTCTCTCACAGTGGACATGCACCTACGATGACAATTTCAGTGGGAGAACTTGCAAAATAGCAGGGTGTTCAAATACTTATTTTCCTCACTGTAACTCCAAGTCAATCACACTCCTGTGAAATCAAACTGTCCACTTAGGAAGCAACACTGATTGACAATCAGTTTCACATGCTGTTGTGCAAATGGAATAGACAACAGGTGGAAATTATAGGCAATTAGCAAGACACCCCCAATAAAGGAGTGGTTCTGCAGGTGGTGACCACAGACCACTTCTCAGTTCCTATGCTTCCTGGCTGATGTTTTGGTCACTTTTGAATGCTGGCGGTGCTTTCACTCTAGTGGTAGCATGAGACAGAGTCTACAACCCACACAAGTGGCTCAGGTAGTGCAGCTCATCCAGGATGGCACATCAATGCGAGCTGTGGCAAGAAGGTTTGCTGTGTCTGTCAGCGTAGCGTCCAGAGCACGGAGGCGCTACCAGGAGACAGGCCAGTACATCAGGAGACGTGGAGGAGGCCGTAGGAGGGCAACAACCCAGCAGCAGGACCGCTACCTCCGCCTTTGTGCAAGGAGGAGCAGGAGGAGCACTGCCAGAGCCCTGCAAAATGACCTCCAGCAGGCCACAAACGTGCATGTGTCTGCTCAAACGGTCAGAAACAGACTCCATGAGGGTGGTATGAGCGCCCGATGTCCACAGGTGGGGGTTGTGCTTACAGCCCAACACCGTGCAGGACGTTTGGCATTTGCCAGAGAACACCAAGATTGGCAAATTCGCCACTGGCGCCCTGTGCTGTTGACAGATGAAAGCAGGTTCACACTGAGCACATGTGACAGACGTGACAGAGTCTGGAGACGATGTTCTGCTGCCTGCAACATCCTCCAGCATGACCGGTTTGGCGGTGGGTCAGTATTGGTGTGGGGTGGCATTTCTTTGGGGGGCCGCACAGCCCTCCATGTGCTCGCCAGAGGTAGCCTGACTGCCATTAGGTACCGAGATGAGATCCTCAGACCCCTTGTGAGACCATATGCTGGTGCGGCTGGCCCTGGGTTCCTCCTAATGCGACAATGCTAGACCTCATGTGGCTGGAGTGTGTCAGCAGTTCCTGCAAGAGGAAGGCATTGATGCTATGGACTGGCCCGCCCGTTCCCCAGACCTGAATCCAATTGAGCACATCTGGGACATCATGTCTCGCTCCATCCACCAACGCCACGTGGGTTGGCGGATGCTTTAGTCCAGGTCTGGGAGGAGATCCCTCAGGAGACCA